TGAGACCTAGTGTAATGTTTTCAATGTGATACTGTGAAATGAGAAAGAACCGTGTCCAGAAAGCACTGGGTCTCTGGTCACATCTGGGGAAATGTATACAGATCTTCCAGGCATCAAGAAATGAGATTTGATTTCTCTGCATTGACCGCAGTTGGAGGTAACCCATTAGAAGGCTACTGCATAGCATTCACCTTGTTGTAATGAAGTCCTAAGATGTTAGAAGAGGAGGGATGGTGAGGAGTGAGTGGGGCCTTGGACGGGAGGCCTCTTGCTTGCAGGGTCACTGGAGGAGTGACTCCTGAATACTCTTGGTTGGCATACAGGCTATGGTCAGAATGCCCCCCATTTGGTCTGTGAGAAGTTGGACTTGAGTACAGTAATGTTAGGCTCTAATCTCCCAGACAGATTAGTGCCTCATAAAGAAGGGCCTTGGGGAGCGGTTCTTACCAACTCTGAAGATACCAGATTCCTTCCCCACAGAGGACAGAACACCATCAGACATCCACCCTCCCAGGCTACGGCCTCATTATTGATAGACCACCTGGTGTGTGATCTTCTATCATGGCAGCACAGAAGGCACACTGATAACTTTTTGAAGGCTACAAGACTTCCATTGGTTATGTTTACTATTAGGTGCTAGCAGTCTGACTTTTCTATCATTCATCATTTTAGAAAGTGATGAAAGCCCCTGTTTGGACAGAATGAAAGTGCCCACCATATGGTTACACCAGGCCCTAGTGTCTGATTTTCAGGGGCCCTGTCAGCCTCAGACCAGGCTCTGATGAATTGGAGATAGCTGGCGTGATTGATGCCCAGCATTTCTGGTCTGCTAGTTGATGGACACGAGTCAGCATGTGAGCCCATGCAGGAGTGTGCCCTGTATGCATACTCTTCACAGAGGGTTGTGGGGGCTTCTTGTTGTACCTCATGGAGCCCTGGCTCTTTGGGTTGCCTGGCATGGATAGCATGATGCCACAGTGCTTCTTGGGCTTGCTCTGGGCTGCACTACAGTCAGGATATTTTAGAAACACTGGGGTCTGAGTCTGCACTATGACGTGTTCTCCATTCCTGGGCACCAGGGGTGGAGATGGGGGCAGTGTTGGGAGCACTCCCCTCTCACCCCCTGTCCTCTAGGTGTGATTCCTTGTTGCTTGCTGGTACACTGGGAAAGCTATTTCATGTAGAGGCCTCACATGTCTCCAGAAAGCACTGTTTTCAGACAGTACATGAGCCATTGTGCGCAAGCATGGCTGTGGTTAACTCCTGCAGCTTGCTAAATGCAGGGCCAGGGAATGTAGGAGGCTCTGTGCCACAGCTGCCTCCCTGTCTGGACATGTAGCCATAGGACCTTGGCGGCCAGGTGGGCTCTGTCAGTTCCTTGGTGAACTGCATTTGTGTTAGACATTCATTCCTCTGTGGGATTTTAGAAGGGACCGAGGAGTCCAGGGTGGATAGGTTCTGATTTGCCACAGGGTTCATACTAGCAGCACAAAACATTCTTGGGATACCTTACTTCCCCAGGTCTTTGGCCAGTGTCGCCTCCACCTGTCCACAAGCATGGGGAATATCTTTGCAAACCTCTTCAAGGGCCTTTTTGGCAAAAAAGAGATGCGCATCCTCATGGTGGGCCTGGATGCTGCCGGAAAGACGACAATTCTGTACAAACTGAAGCTGGGGGAGATCGTGACCACCATCCCCACCATAGGTGAGACGCTGAGCTGAGACTGCGACTGGGTGGGGCTGGGCCTGGTTGGAGGCGCAGAGGGTCCTCAGCTGCAACCCTGCCCCCAGGTTTCAACGTGGAGACTGTGGAGTACAAGAACATCAGCTTCACTGTGTGGGATGTGGGCGGCCAGGACAAGATCCGGCCGCTGTGGCGCCACTACTTCCAGAACACCCAAGGTAATGGGACAGCCCTCATTGTAGACCTCTACTACTGGGCTCCTTCCAAGGCCTAGCCTCTGCTCAGGTCCCATGGCCTTGCTAACTGCAAGACAAGGCCCCACAGAGCCAGGCCAGGAAGAACGGCTGTAATCTCGGGATTGGGGTCATGGCCTGTGGGGTGGGTGGGTGGGTGGGGAGTGTCGAACCTAGGCAGTCACATGGCTCCCTTGCAGGCTTGATCTTCGTGGTGGACAGCAATGACAGAGAGCGTGTCAATGAGGCCCGTGAAGAGCTCATGCGGATGCTGGCGGAGGATGAGCTCCGGGATGCTGTCCTCCTGGTGTTTGCCAACAAGCAGGTAGGTGCCAGCAAGGTCCTCCCTAACGGCACCCATGTCAGGGAGGGGCAAGGACAGCTTGCTGGTGGCCCTTGTTGCTGATCCATCCTTCCCCTCAGGACCTCCCCAATGCCATGAATGCTGCTGAAATCACAGACAAGCTGGGGCTGCACTCTCTACGCCACAGGAACTGGTACATTCAGGCCACCTGTGCCACCAGCGGGGACGGGCTCTATGAAGGACTGGACTGGCTGTCCAATCAGCTCCGGAACCAGAAGTGAACCAGAACTTCCCTTCCCCCTCACTTCCTCCTCTCCGCCCTCCGCTTTCCTCTCATGTGGCAAACGTGCGACCCTGTGGTCCTGAGTGCCAGAAGCTGTCTCCATGGGTTGGTCACAGTGCGCACCGCACCGTGCTGTGCGTGTGCAGACGCAGCCTGCAGCCAGGTTTTTATTTAATGTAAATAGTTTCTGTTTCCACTGAGGCAGTTTCTGGTACTCCTATGCAATATTACTCAGCTTTTTTATTGTAAAGAGAATCAACTTACGGTCAGTACTGAGAAGAGATTTGGACATGTGGGCACCTGGTCTCCAGGAGCCAGTGGGTGTAGATCAGTATCGGAATCCATTTGGTGGTTGGTTTTTAACCTGAACTCAGTGCATTTTTTAAAATTGATAAAAATACAAGCAGAACACTTGAACACATAGAAGGGAGACTCTGCCTAGTGTAGGTTTTTGCAGTAACCGCCTGAATGCTTAGTCCATCAGATCAGCTAGCTGGTCCCCTGTGGAACAGGAGAGACGGTGACAAACGAACCACCATTGCTGCATGGTCACAGTAGAGCCCCCGTGACTCGCCTGTCTGTGGATCACCTGCATTCCATAGCGTTGTGCTTGTACTCGTGCTCACACGGTCACCAAGGGGCTGGCAGGGGCCGGGGCAGGGCCTCATCCTTGATGGGCCTGTGGCCTAGCAGCCGCCCGCGTTCCCAGTTCTGGCGCCTGCTCCGAGTACCGGCGGGAGGCCTGGGTCTAGCCAGCAGGAGTCTGCAAGCTGGGAGAGTTGGCCCACTCCAGACCCAGTCCCAGAGCACCCCATCTCCATGTGTGAAGTAGCTTCCTCCCTCAGCCTGCAAGGGTCCGATTTGCCATCGAAAAAGACGACCTCTACTTTTTTTTCTTTTGTATTTTGATAAACACTGAAGAAGCTGGAGCTGTTAAATTTATCTTGAGAAAACCTCAGAACTGGTTTATTTGGTGTCGTGGAACCTCTTACCGCTTTCAATACACAATTAGTAATCAACTGTTTTGTATACTTGTTTTCAGTTTTCATTTCAACAAGCACTGTAATTATAGCTATTAGAATAAAGTCTCAACTATTTCATGGGCTTGTCAGTGGGTCACTGTCACTGCCACGAGGCTGCCTGCTGGGAAGGAAGCAGAGGCCGACAGGGCCTTCCCCATAGAGAGCAGGTGGCTGGTCTCCAGGCCTGGACGGACTTTTCCCCTCATACATACGTACATGGAGAAGACAGCACACTTCACTTCCAAAGGTAAGGGTGTAGGAGTCTTGAGTGCTGTGGGGCCTTGGCCCCCGACCCTGTGCACACATGCATGCCCAGCAATGGCATGGCAGCACTTGAGTCGAGGTTGGGGTGGCCACCAGCAGGTCAGAGTACCCCCCTGTTCTTCCACGACCTTGCCCCCAGCCAGGACAGTCTCCACTGAAGGCAGCCACATGCAGAGTGTAGGCCAGGGTGCAAGCCATAGTCTAGGCCTCAGTGGACACTGAGGGTCTGCCTGGGCCACAGCATTTATAATTTCAAGTCAGAACCAAAAGAATTCAACAATAAATACACCATTACAGATACAGCCACACAGCCTGTTTTCCATTCACTATACCCAGGCCCCCACGAACCCAGGGTGCCTTTCTGTTAACTGCCCAGTCTACTGTTTCAGGCAGGAGGTGGGGAGCAAGCTGAGCCCCTAGGTGCTTCAAAAGCCCCACCACCCTTCCAGGCTCAACCTAGACCACCTGGCCTTTGAAAAGGCAGCTCCTGTGGATAGGCTTTTATTTTTCAGATGAGTACTAGATGAAGGCTTGCTCTGGTCATACAAGATGTAGCAGGAATCACTACAAGACATCAGAAGTTACTGAGGAGGTTGCTCCAGGCTAGCCTTGGGCAAGAATGCTCATAAGACTTCATCTCAACAAACACAGGTGCCTGTCATTCCAGCTACGCAGGAAACATAAAGACTGTCTCAGAAATTACTAGAGCAAAAAGGCTCAAAGCATGGCTCAGCTCAAGCTAGAGTACCTGTCTAGAAAGCATGAAGCTAAATGCAAACCTCATACTATACCCCACCCCACAAGTCCCTTCCAGGCTAAGACTGTCCTGTACGTTGGAGACTACTGCCTGAGCCCAGGCCTCTTACCCTTCCACATTCCCCTGCCACTCTGAGGTAATGCTCTACTTTTGAAATACATTTATTTAAGTACAAAGTGAATGTGAAAAGCAACCATGCTTGGTCACAGCTCTTGGGCCTGGACTGCTGCAAGCAGACAGCAGTCTATAGTGTGCAGGGCCCCTCTGGAGAGACCGGTCTTCACTTAGCGCCACCCTCAAGGGGAGTCTGCAGGGAGCCAGGTCAAAAGGAACCTGGAGAAGTTTCCCCAAGCAACACCACCTGTCCCTCGGCAGTCAATCCCCCAAAACCTACAAGTGTGGTGCAGGGACACTCCAGGCAGTAGCCCCTGCTCGGCCTGCAAAGAGCCTCCCCTAGGCAGGTCCGCAGGTAACCAAGCACAAAGCAGCCAGCCAGAGCTCTGGTGGGTATCAGTCCACACTCAGTCATCTGAGCCTCTGCTCGGCCGTCTGTGGGGTGGGCTCTTTCTGCAGCCTCCGCTAGGCCCCCGTTTCCTTCTCTTACAGCTGGGGGAAGAGGAGTCAGAATCATGGCGCCGGCGTCTGGGCCTTGGAGACAAGGACAGTGAGAATTAGGAAGGGCGTTGAGCCATGCCCTGAGAGCCGCCCAGCACCCTGCTCAGGCCCGCTGACTACAGCCCCTTCTCCACAACTCCCCCAGGCAGAACTGAGCTGGGCTTGTGCCTACCGAGTGGGAGAGGGAGAGGAGGAGGAAGCCTCAGCATCCTTCCTGTGTTCTTTGTCTTTCTTCTTCTTATGCTTCTTATGTTTCTTCTTCTTTTTCTTTTTTTCCTTCTTGCTTTTCTTGTGGCTCTCCGCACTGCAAGAGGAAATGGCTAGCCTTAGCCTCCTGCCCTCCAGGGAGGACCGGTCAGGAGGGCCTGTCCACAGCCTCCTGCTGGACACTGGCAGCCAGGGCCTCCGTGGGGCCGTGCCTCTCGTGTTCGGGAGGCTCAGAACCAGCCCACGCTCACCAGGGCCTCCATGGGGCCGTGACTTATCGTGTTCGGGAGGCTCAGCACGAGCCCACGCTCACCAGGGCCTCCGTGGGGCCGTGCCTCTCGTGTTCGGGAGGCTCAGCACCAGCCCACGCTCACCAGGGCCTCCGTGGGGCCGTGCCTCTCGTGTTCGGGAGGCTCAGCACGAGCCCACGCTCACCAGGCTGCGCAAGGCCTGGTCGGCAGCGGACGCGCGTGTCACTCCCGCCGGGAGGAAGCTGGGACGGAGCCAGCCCGGCCCTCTTACCCGGGGTCGGCCTTGTCTTCCACGCGCGGCTTCCTTTTGGCTGCGGCTGGAGAAGTAGCTCGGCTGCTGCTGTCGGTGCGGTGGTGCTGCGGGGGAAGGGGCGCGGTGGAGAGGGCGGAGGGGCGCGGGGAGTCCCGCCCCGCCCGCCCGGCCCCCGGGGAGCTCAGGGGGTCCCGGCGCGGTTACCGTGAACACTGACAGCCCCAGCTTGGCGGCTTCCTTGTCCTCCCGGGACAGCGCTACGCGGCCCGCGGAGCCACTGCGGCCAGACAGCGAGGGCGACAGGGCCACGAGGGAGGGCGACGGGGGCGGTGAGAGAGAGAGAGAGAGAGAGAGAGAGCGGTGAGGGCGCCCCCGTGTGCCCCCAATCCTCGCGCTGCCCAGCCCCCGCATGCCCCGCCCCCGTGTGCCCCGCCCCGTGTGCCCCGCACCTCGGGCTGC